TATATAAAGCTGCAGGCTTTACCTGTAAGTTAATAAGTAAACATTGATTTTCAGACTTAAACAAATGGAAAGGCAGGTGTAGAAAGTAGTAATGCTGATAAAGCAAGATAATACTAAAAAGTTATGAAGGAACAAGATCATAAAGGGCCTTTTATAGTCATTGAATTAGTTTACTTTTGCTGCTATAACAAATTGCCATAAAGTAAATGGCTTAAAACACCTTCTTGTTACATCACAGTTTCTTCGGGTCAGAAATCTGGGCACTGCATGGCTCAGCTGGGATCTCTGCTTAGGGGTCAAGAGACCAAAATCACTGGCTCAGCAGGACAGTTCCTTATTGGAGGTTCTGAAGAATAATCACCTTGCAGGTGCATTCAGAATTCTGTTCCTTCTCATGCTTTCCCTATGGGCTCCTCCAGCTGGTGATTCAGCTGAGCAATGATATGTCAAGTCCTTCTCATGCTTGGAATCTCTCAGACTTTCTCTTTTGCCACTAGCTAAATAAACTTCTCTGCTTGTAAGAGTTCATATGATTAGATTTGTCCAATCTAATTAATCTTATCTTAAGGTCAATTGTGCTAAATAACATAATTTTAAGAATAACACCAGGGGTTGAAGATCATGAGGACCAAAATTCTTGTTAAAGACTTAAGACTTTATTCTAGTGGATCTTGTATGATTGTAAGTAGAGAGTGATGTGATCAAGTGTGTGTTTTATAAGAAACACTTTGCCTGTAATATAAACAAGAGGCAACTTGGGGTCACCCTGAAGTCATGGGAAACTATTTGAAGGGATATTATTTGGGATTCAGTTACAGGTAACCAAAGCCACACTAGCTGTTTTAAGAGGAAAGGAATTTAATAAAGGGGAAAAGTTATTTATGAAATCTTTGGAAGGACTGCCTTTGATTCCCTTTTAACAGGATCACAGAACTAACCCACCAAGGGACTGCTACCTCTGCTAGAATTAGGTGAGTGGAGTCTGAGGATGCTGCTGTCCCTGGTGCTGGATCACACCACCTTAGTGGTGATCTGGACATTGGCAAACCAGGGTGTTGACTCCTGGAACAAGTTGCTTGAACTGCAGTCTGGTAATTAAGAAGCCTCTACCACAACTATTCTTCTAAATACATTATCTCTCCAGAGCCACTGAATCATCTGCAAAGGATTGTGTGAAATGTAGTTTTTCAGCTTTCCAGGAATCCAGGAAGGCATACCTGGAGAAGGCTGGAACAGATACTGAAGAAGCTCATCCAGCTTATGCATCCACAGAAAGCAGTAGCAATCCAGGCTATTAATGCAGTGGCTTGAATTTACAAAGCAAGTGGACAAGACAGATGCAAATCAATTAACTGAATGGAAGAAATGGAGAGGAGAAATAGGAAGGAATCGGGATGACTGTCCACTTTCTGACTAGGGTAATTAGTTAGTATATGGTAGATACTGAGATAAGCAAGACTGGAAGAGAAGGTGGTTGGTGAGTGACATTCAATTCTTTCTGGATGTGTTGATTTTGAGAAGACTGTAGGACCCTAGCTTGTCCCAATTATAAGAAGACTATTTATTTTTTGCACATGGGTCACAATTTTGTGTATAAATCTGTTCATTGTTGAGATTAATTCAGTTGGCTGTAGTCCCAAATACAAATAAACCTAGAATTACACTATTATTATTTTTAAGTTTTATTTTTATTTTTAAATAGGGTGAGGACTTACCACCAGTTATTTAATCTCATTGTTGAATGGTGTTTTTCTTTTATTTCTCTGAAGGGCATTTGGGCACCCCATTCCTTAAGTTCTTATTTCAGAAATCTGCTTGTTAAATTTATTTCTGAACAAAACTTGATGAGGTATTATATTCTTGGGTCATGCTCTCTGATTTATGTGTTTGGTCGGTAATGGTGTTGTTTTGCTCCTCAATTTGTTTCATTATCTCTACAGATTCTCTTTTCAACTCACTGCACTGTTTATCATTTGTCTTTGAGCTCTTGTTTTATTATGTTCTCGCGCTTACTAATTTTTAGGCCTCAAAATATTTATGGGGCATCATCTTTTCCTTTGGTTATGTTTTCTTTCAGATTGAATTTTGCCCCCCACCTTACTTTTCTATGTGTTCCTTTCTTGTATTCTTTTTGCTGTGGTATGTGCTTAGTTGCTTAGTTGTCATTTTGTGTCCGGCTTATGTTTTTAAAAGAGGGTCCCTCTCTCCAGACCATCTCTTGACTGAAACACAGTATGAGTAAACTCTTCTTGACCCCTTCACTATTGTTTCTGCTGACTTCTAGGTGGATTTTGAGAGCTGGGTATTATCAACATAATTCTGCCTGGTTTTCTAGTCTGAAAGGGAAACCTCTCTGGAGTTGGGTTCAGCATTTAATTGACCCCATGGTTTCTGCTCTCTTTTCTAAGATTTGTTCAATTATCATAACCTGGCTTCACTTATTTTAAGGTATATACTAGGAGATGGAATGCGGAAAGACACATTTAGACTTTGAATCCTTCATCTTTTCAGTGTGGAGTCTTGGAAATTTTCAAGTCCTCGTAGTTTTGGTTGGTTTGGACTTTTTGATCTGTTTTGTTTGCCTTTGCTAAGACCCTGACATTCTGAAAGTGGGATGAAGAGACTTCTGATCCCTATGCTGTTTCCTCAGTCTTCTTTCTGTCTGGCTTCTTATACCTTCAGCCCAATTTTCTCTAAACTGGGAAGCATTAGCTGGTGTGCTCAGGATTTTATCCTTATACTCCTTTTCCAGAATGGCTTCTTGGGATCAGGTCAGATCCTTGCTTAGCTGAATCATGTAGTACAGAGTTTCTGTTCCTCTTAAATAAGGCAATAAGGTTATTCCCTCTCTTATGTTAGTTCCTGATGGCTATTTTTTTTTAATCTGTTTCAAAAAAACCTATTTTTGACTCAAGTTCTGGGAGGAGATTCTGTAATCTATTTTGTCATAATGTTACAGGGTAGGGTGAGGGATACCCCAGTACCCCCAGTCTGCCCACACTAAATAGGTTCTGCCATCTACCACATCCAGACAAAACATACTTTAAAGCGTAAGACCTTTAAAAGAACTTTAATACAACTGGTGTGCAATAGAGACAATTAGTGTGTAATAGAAAGAAGAGAAAGAATATAGTTTCCAAGTCAAATACCCAAAGTTACCCATTCCCTTGTGGGCAAATGCCCAACCAAGCAGGGTTGGACCAAAGCAGGGTAGCTGAGGCCTGCAAGCTTGCTGCAGTCTAAAACACCTTATGGTGGGGAACCACAGAAAAGGGGCAAAAGGGGTCAGGCAAATCTGAAAGGAAAAGAGCAAAATCAAGGTTAAGGCTGTCATTTTCAGCCTCCCCAAAGGTCTCTCACTCCAGTCTATGTTAAGTGTCTCCTTCCATGTACCCCAAGTCTTTGGCACAAGGCCAAGGCCAAGAAGCAAGAGTAATTTTTTCTTTACATGTCTTTCTGCTCCATGTGCCTCCTCCAATCTTCCTCCATCTCTGTCTGCTTCTTCTGCTGCTGCTTCTCAGTCTCCCCGCCCCACCCCCAGTCTTTATTACCATCTTATTGTTAAAATTCCTAGCTTCATCCTCCTGCCCAGCTCTGTCCTTCCTTAGGGTGGAGTAGGGAACTTACAATGTTACAGTAACACCACTTTTTCCAAAAAGGTTCTACTTAAGTAGATTTCAGTCATATATTTTCTGAGAAATCTATGTGTTTTAATAATGTAAGCTCAGAATGGTAGGAATGTAACATTAATATTTTTAGTTGTATAAGAACTTAGAATTTATAAAGTCCTTACTTGCCTGTTACTTTACATAATTCTTTTGACTCTCATAAGGTAGGAAGGCAGAACTATTTTGCCAGTTTTACTAGTAAGGAAACTGAGATCCTAAAGAATTGAGTGAGTTCCTAAGTTACACAACAAGTTATAAGACAAGACTCTGAAATCAGTTCTTAAAACTCCAAGACTCTATTTTACCATACCCCCTCCCTCCCCTTGATGGAAATGATTACTTCCATCCCCAACCACAGACCTCTTACTGTGTCTTTGATGTTCCTTCCCAGCCTCATTATAACTCTGATTTAACTGAGTTAAAACCCTAAATATGGTGAGGGAGGTGGTGGAGTTATTTTGTGCAATCATTATATTCTAATCCTGAGCTAACCTCAGTGTGTCTTGGTTATAATAAAGCTTTTATCAGATTTTTTTTCTCCCTCTGGTGTGAAAGAAGCTGTTAGACTTCCTCAGTAAAATCAGGCCTATGTCCTGCAAAGCTAGCAGTGATATAAGCATGAAACAAGCATTCTCCACATGTGGGCCCTAGTCGTAACTTCATAATTCACTCTTCTCTTGCTATCTTTTGTTCTGTATTTCTTTCTTGACCAAGGGATTTGTATCCTTCATTTACTACTTTCTTACAAGAATGTATTCTTTACTTCTACAGGTTCTTTGTATTGTAGCCTACAAAACTAGATTGGAACATTCAAACCAGGTATATCTGAAAGAGTTGGGTTAACAACTAACCTACAACTAGATGTTTCTGTAAGCTACAACTTCTCCAAGGCTCAGAAACTACTGGCCTAATTCTATCTTCCTATCTATTACAAAGGAACATATGCTTAGATCTGTCCAAGAGAGCAACTCTGCAGAGTGGTTACACTTCTGTTATCTTTGTAAAATCTGCTTTTCTAAGTTCTGCTTCCCTCCCTGAGCCTGTTCTTACATAATGATTAACAGCAGGCATGGGGACCATCTTTAGAAGAAACCCTCCCTCTGTCCACAGGATGTGGTTTCACTCTGACCTCAACATACCAGATCACAGCCATATCAGGGTAACAGTAGCAGATCACAGATTGTATAATAGTCATTAGATAGACAGATAGACAGAAAGAATAGGGTATTAGAAAATTGCTGAGAGTAGCAACGTAGCTTCCCTATAGTTCTGAAGAAGTCCGTAGTTCTTGTACTAACGGCTTAAGCTGACACTGTTTGTTTTCCTTTGTAGGTATCATGAACTGATCACAAAATATGGGAAGTTGGAGCCTTTGGCAGAAGTGGACCTAAGGCCCCAGAGCAGTGCAAAAGTAGAAGTCCACTTTAACGATCAGGTGGAGGAAATGAGCATTCGTCTGGACCAAACAGTCGCAGAACTAAAGAAACAATTAAAAACTCTAGTGCAATTACCTACAAGCAACATGCTTCTCTACTATTTTGACCATGAAGCGCCCTTTGGCCCAGAGGAAATGAAGTACAGCTCTCGGGCATTGCACTCCTTTGGCATTAGGGATGGTGATAAAATTTTTGTGGAATCCAAAACAAAATAACCTCTACCAGCCTTGTGAAAACATACCCATGAGGACTTCTTGCAGGGCGTTTATTTCCAATGTGGTTTTCTTTAGGAGAGGGAGAAGGTTGCTTTTGTTGTGTTTTGTTTGGTTCTATTTTCTTTGGCTTTGGGGGGGTTTGTATATTTTGCCCCTAGAATGGATGGGGGCTGTTTTTGGTATTTTCTATCACAGATTTCTTCAGCCACACCTCCAGTTCCTGTGCTCTCCCTCATGAAACAATGAGTCGGAAATCACTGACTTCCTACTGTGCTCATGACTTGTCTATTGCTTGGTGATCATTTCCATTTAGGTAAACCTGTCAGGAGCGGCATGTCCCCCGAGGAGGGCATCCGATAGCAGTTACATCAGGAAACAAGGAACCTTTACTGAAGGGTCAGCCCCTCTCTCCCACTTTCTCCTTCCTTTCTTTCTTTTTTTTTTTTTTTTTTTTTGGTTCAATTTTTCATGTGTCAGCACATGTTTACCTAATATTTTATTCTGTCCATAACTGACTTCTTATTTTTCAACCTGGGTGGTTTTTGTTTCTTCATTTTTTTCCCTTTTAAAATAATTCAGTGTTTGAGCATATTTCAACCTGATTCTAATCTCAGGTACTCATTTAGAACCTATGTTCTGTTAGGATCTTGAAGAAGAGTAGACGGAGAGTTAAAACTGTCTGGGAACAGAGCAGTCTGATCTCCTTGAAAGCAGCTATCTCAAGTTTAATGTTCCTCACACATTGCAGCCACCATTACTTCCATAACATGAAATATGTCCAATTCCAGAGTTCTTTTATTTTTGCTTATTGTGTGTATTTCCTATCAATCCATCTTTTTCATACTTTAAACTATTGGGAATAGAGCCCTGACTTTATGAAGAATCCAATAGATTAATGGTTATTTGTACCAAGAGAGTTGAGAATTAGCTAATAAACTAACTGCAGCATGTGAGGGGGTGGGACGAGGGGCTTGCAGGAGGAAGAGTGCTGTGACTTCCTGCCTCTGTCACCATTTTCAGCCCTCGATCTTGCACTTTGCATTAAAAGTGGGTAATTTTAATCAAAGGGAACTTTGAATCCCAGTTCTTCCTTAGGATTTTGTGATGTAATTGAGTCATTCTTTTTGTTCTACATTTCAATTCAGTTGCTCCTATGGAAGAACAGCTTTGCCTAATCTTTAAGTAAAGTGTAAAAGCCAAAACTTCAGAATTGCCAGCAGGTTCTATCTTTTCCACAGAAGCATATGTAAAGCACTTTCCTTTTAAAAGCTAGTTCTCTACCTGCTCCAAAATCATTTTGTGTGTTCTTTTATCCCTTTGTTAATCAGATGTAGTCCCTTTATATATATCTATATATATATCTCTCTCTCTATATATGTCTTTCTTGGACCACCATGTTGACAGGTGGGAGACCTGAGCATGGCTTAGTGTGCCGAGGGCGGAGGTGTGCACATGAAGTATTTTTTGAAGAATGTAATCATCTGATTGTGTTTGATCTTTTCACCTTCATTACATGATCCTGCCCCTCCTACAAATTCTTTAATTTCTTATGAAATTTTTAGATGACTCTTGTAAATTCTTCATGTGTGGGGAGTTGCGTTTATTATTGCTACTTTTTAAAATTTCCTAAGCTCTAACAAGCAGATGTTTATTCTCTTAATGCACTTCAGGTTCAGTATCTGTTAAGCCTTTGACTCGGGCCTGCTGAGTCAAATCTACATTCACTGTAACATTTAAAGGTGGAAACCAAAGGGTTTGAGAAAGGTGAACAAGGCCTCGTCTCCTCTGCTGCACAGGTATCTCTCAAGATCGGAAAAGTGTGCAAGGGAGACCCGGGCTGGATGCAGCCAAGAGCAGTTATTTTGCAATCACATTCTCCTGACAGGTTTTTGGAAGTCGGGTGCGGGGGGAAGTGTGGCAATAGTGTCGTGAAGATGAAAATGGGGTGCTTGTAGATGTGCGCATGGGTGCAGATGAGTTTGAGAGAGAAACAGTGTCATCGAGCCCGTTGCTTTTGTCAGACTGGGAAATAGATGCACTGTTCTATTTTGAGATTTTATGACCCCTGACTGTCTCACAGCAGAAGGCAGAGTGAACACTTATGTCATACTTTAATCATAAGTGAAATGGTCACAATTAATAAGATATTTTATATATGACAAAGTTTTATGAAATGCTTTTTTACTCTTAGGGACCTGTACCTTCTGTTATCACAGAACAGTGTCCATCAACTGCAGGCATAATGCTTCTATATACAGTTGCATGTCAGGGGAACTTCTCATTTAATTCAGTGGACGTGGGTATTTTTAGAGCATTGCAAGCAATGGTTTTAATAATTGCTGAATAATTTTTGATTCAACCAAAATCTAATACAATTACTGGTCTTTTAGAGTCACAGAACAGAAGCAAATGAGAAATACTAGTTGAGCATGTGTCCCAGTAGATGCACTTGGGTAGCTGAGTAAAGATACTGCTTTTGGGGGAAAAAAAAAAAATTGGTGCTGTGTAGACACTTGCGACTAAAATTATTTTCATAGTGGGCCAAAAAGAAGGAGCAAAGAGACCACGGACCTTTGACTCTGTAAGTTATGCATAATTGATTGCTGCAGCTTGTCTGTATTTTAGTACTGACTTGATCCAGATCCAGTGACATTTAGGGAACAAAGTGCTGTCACCACCAGTGTTACAGATAGGTCGCTGCAGGCACAGTGTACAGAGCATATCTTTTCTCAAATTCTTTTCACTTAGGACCAAGGAAAGGGGTAGTGAAAGAAAGCCACAGGGCCCTTCTACATGTGGACACGAAGCTGCTGAAATCACAATAGAAATCAGTTTTAGAATATGAATTGTTGAAATATCCCAAACTTCAGAGTCATATGTTTTTTCATTGTTAAAAGTTTCTATTGTTTCTGTAACGTGTTGCCACCATTGCCATAAGTACAGAAGAAAGCACCAGATGTTCTGTAATCCCTTGTTTCTTTAAGCCTTTTAGTGAAAATACACCCCAAACATGGGCTGTGTGTTACAGAGCTGAATGTTACGACTGTGCTGTGTTTAAAGACTTGTTTACTAAAAGAAAGTTCACTTCTAACCTGTTTCTGTTGTGTTGCTAAATCAGCAGTGTTATGAGCAGACAACACTTGTTGCACAAGTTGCTGGTCTATTTGAGACAGCTGGTGATTGCTGTTGCTAATGCGCACATGAGCGTGACTTTCTACGTGGGAAGTGCCAGCTCTAGGGCATGTAAGACAATAATGCAGAATGCTAGATTGTTCTGAAGAATGCCGTCTCTCTTTATAAATTTGATTTTTCCTTTCATTCCATGTTAGATTGAAAATGCAAACAAACCGCTTTCAAGAACCCCCAGAAGCTATCTGTATTACCAGATGTGTTGTGAACACTCTATTTTCCATAGGTGCTTCCTTAAAATATATGTCCACTGTAGTGATGGAGAGGGACTGGACTCTCTCAGGCTCTTTACTTGCCAGTTGTCTCCTGCAGTTAATGGAAATATATATTTTATTTTAGAATATAATTTAAACATGAAGGTCTATTCTTTGCACTTTTTATTAATATATAGATAATCTTTAAAAAAAATTAAAAATTCAAGTCCACTTTCTCTTTGTGTTCTGATTTTTTTTCTGGAGTTGTGGGGTCAAGGTACATGTTTACTTTTATATAGCTAAAACTCTACATCAGTGCTGGGGCTGAGTCCTCTGGAGAATTGGTTAAGCTGGTAAGAATTCGACCAAACTTAGCTGGAATTTTGCCCAACTTGGAAATGAAAGCTGCAAAATAGACTCATAGGAAATGTGTTATTGCTTTTGTGTTAACAAAGTTTTATATTTCTAACATGCTCTTGCTATTTCCTTTGTATCCCTTTGAGGATGAAAACCTCCGTTTGAGATATGTGGCATCCTCCTTTTTGAGTAAGAAAGCAACTCTCATTTTGATTAATTCAATTTTTGCCAGTTCTAATCCAAGGGAAACTTTTTTCCTTGAAGAATAATTCCTTTAAGAATTAGAGATTTGGACACTTGTTTGGTAGTGATAAGCACTACCTGCTTATCAGTAATTTCTTGGTAAACTGTTATGAATTAGCTTAGTGCCAAAAATAAAGATCTAAGAACTGTGCTTTATTTCTGTATTTAAAAGAGAGTCCACGAACTTCTCTCTCAGTGCTTCAGAAGTACACGAACACCTTGATCTGTTGAAGATTACTTCTACATCATTCAAATCTCAAGGAACTATAATTTTAACGTCTGTGCTAAATTCTATCTAGTTAATATTTCTTGTGAGTTTTTTAAGTGCTAGCAAGGCCGACATATTTCAACACATCAGTATCTTTTGGGCTGAAAAACGCTGACGTTCACCAGTTACTAGCATGCACATAAAACGTGAAGATTAGCCTTTGAAGTCACATTTCTCTTTCCAACTCCTCTGTAAAAGAAGCCACATGTATTCTCCAACTTGACTTGGAACTTAAGATTTCAAATAAAGCCAGATAACTTTTTAAACATATATAGGCCATTATAGATATTAACCTGAGTCATTTCATCTACTTTTAAGATTTTAATGTAACTATGATTTAGGAATTGAGTTAAACCAGTTCCTAATACCATATTATACCTCTTACAATATAATAATACACTTGATATTCTTTCAAAAATTTGGTAACACTAGAAATGTTTAGCTTTCTTTCTTAAACTGATCTGGCAAAATGTTCAAATATATATACACACATATATGTTTATATATGAATATAATATGCGAACATATTCTAGCCTCCCAGTTTACCCTCCTCTAAATGCAACTTTGGGGTTTTTTTGTTGTTTTTTTTTTTCACTTAGATAGTTTAGCATTATTCTGCTGAGTCAGTGGCATTTTTAAAATTTTATTTCAAATCAGTGACTTAAAGAATAATTAAGCCTAAGAAATAAACTAGAATAAAGAAAATATGTTCTCTTTAAATAGGTAAAATAGGAATTGCTAATAGCCACTTAAAAATCTTTGTGTTATGCCTTTAATATGTTTTAGGCACCTGAACAATGTGCTTGCATTCTATTTTAAGGCACACATATTAGGAGGATAGTACAAACATCCCAGGGACCTAGCAGATCCAATTGTTGGTTGTGTGAATGAACCAGAGGTTCAGGTTTGTAATTTTCTATTTTCATGTTTTCTTCTAAATACTAAGAACAAGGATTTATTATCAACCCACTCTAATATTAGACCCATTTGATATTAACAACAACCCTAATACGTTGACACTGCTGTTACCGTCATATTGCTAGTGAGGAAACAGGCATAGACAGAGTAGGTAAACTTGCCAATACAGTTGGTAATGACAACAGAGCCAGGATTCAAAACCATGCAATTTGCAAGATTCCTGCACTTGACAGCAGTACAGTGATACTGGAGTCCTTGCTGAAGTTCTTCTCTGCCCCCTCTACATATACACACTCCTTGAGTGTTAGTCTTCAAACACTAAAATGAGATGTTCCTGCATATCCATTTACTAAATTTATATCCTCTATAACAAAATAACTGATGTGGCTAATGATCCTAAATCCAAATTGGGATTTGTTCTCATACTGTTTCCAGTGTTGTGAAATAGAGTAGATACATATATCTGCTGTCCTCCTGCTTCTCAAAAATGTCACATTGACACTTGTGATGCGTGCTTTTGATAAGAATAAATGAGTCCTCATAATGCAAGAAAACTGATGATTTGGTTTTTAACCTAAGACATTCTAGAATTTTAAAACTTTGTTCAGTAGGCAATCAAAGGGGAGCAAACTCTCCAATTCAGACTTTCATCAAAGAGGGATTGGTGTTCAAGTGAACTTAAATTGATGCTTATGGCAGGAAAAAAAGTTTATAATCTAATAGAGCCTGTATCAAAGGTTTTGTTATGGGAAAGGATGAGGCTGTCACTTATTGTTCCTCCTTAAAATTGAAGAGAGCCCTGTGAAGAATATAAATATCGCTTACATAATAGAGAAGACAGGTTATCTATTATGGTCTGCAAGATCTAGATCAGCCAAAAAATTACAATGCAATTTCAGTTTGTTGAGTCTTTCAGAGACTCCATCCTTGAACGTGTCTTAGTCACTGTGAGTATTCAATTAAGGTGTTAAATAAGAATGGGAATAAGGAATACAGGCTCAAGAGAAAGAAATATATTCTGAAATATCTGATACATTTGAGGGCAGATGCAAACTTTATTATTCGCGTATGCAACTAGGTCAACATGAATCGCTTTGGTTTTCTTAGCATATTGTTTGGTTTAAATTTCAATTTGTTTACCAAAAAAACAAAAAATCCTTTAAAAACCATTTAAACAGAAAACATTCACTTGATTAAAAAATCAAACAGTATGAAGTTTTCCTTAGAAAATCGCACCCTAACTCCTATATGCCATCTTATATTAGTTTGTGTGCCTTCCCAGAGTTTACACAAATAAAAGCAAACAGGAATATATTTTTACTGTTCCCACCTTACAGAGCAAAGTTAATAACACATTATACACTATCACAAGCCTTGCTGTTTTTCACTTAAAAATGTTCCTGGAGATCTCTCTACAGCAGTATGTGGGGAATCACCTTGGCCTCTGCTCAAGGAACAATACTACATTGCATTCCATTTGCAGATGTAATTCATAATCTCTTTGGCCACAATAACATTGTTGATAGGCATGGGAGTTTTTCTCCTTTTCCCTCACCCAGTCCCACCTTTTTTTGTTGAACTCTTTTCAGTTTGCTGCAGTAAACAGCAATGTTCTTTTGCATGTTTGAAATAAATCTATAGAATCCATTCCCAAAAGTGGGATTGCTGGATCAAAAAGGTCGTTTGTTTGTCAGTTTGGAAGATATTGCCAACTTGTTCTCCACTGGAGTTAAAGAAAAAGAACTTTTTTTTAATATTTTATATAATTCTTAGATCATTTTTCATTTTTGCACAAAGTATGCATTTTCATTTTGGTTATATTCCCCTTACAATTCCCACCCCCCTTATTTTGATCCTAATCCCTCCTCTTCCTGCCCTCCCCCCGCCATAGTGTGTCTCTAGTTTATAGTTGCTTGTTGATTTTGATTTTTACTTTGTATTAATTAGTCTGAAAAAGAACATTTTTTCTTTTTTTTAAATTTAAATTTTATTTTTATATTCCCCATACAATTACAATCCCCTCATTTTGACCCCAAGCCCTCCTTTCCCCAACCCCCACCCCCCATAGAGTGTCTCTGGTTCATAGTTGTTTGTTGATTTTGATATTTTCTTTCTTATAGTTATTCATTTCCCTGGTCCCTTATTTAAGTTTTCTAGATTCCTGCTATGAGTGAGACCATCCGGTATTTTTCTTTTTCTTTCTGGCTTATTTCGCTGAGCATGATCCCTTCCAGCTGCATCCATGTTGCTGCAAGTTGCATGTGTTTATCTTTTTTGAATGCTGAGTAATATTCCATGGTATATATGTACCACATCTTCTTGATCCAGTCATCTATTTGTGGGCATTTGGGTTGTTTCCAAAGCTTAGCTATTGTAAACAGTGCTGCTATAAACATAGGGGTGCAGGTGCTCTTTGGAATTGATGTTTCTGTGTCCTTTGGGTAAATACCTAGGAGTGGAATTGCTGGATCATATGGAAGCTCTATGTTTAGTAGGTCCAGAAATCTCCACACAGCTCTCCATAGTGGTTGGACCAGTTTGCACTCCCACCAACAGCGCAGGAGAGTTCCTTTTTCTCCACAACCTCGCCAACATTTGTTGTTGCTAGTTTTTTTAATATGTGCCATTCTCACTTGTGTAAGATGGTACCTCATTGTAGTTTTGATTTGCATTTCCCTGATAACAAGTGATGTTGAACATTTTTTCATATGCCTGTTGGCCATTTGCATTTCCTCTTCAGAGAAGTTTCTTTTTAGCTCTTCTGCCCATTTTTGGACTGGATTATTTTCTTTGTTTTTGTTGAGTCTCATCAGCTTTTTGTAGATTTTTGTGATCAGTCCTTTATCATTAGTGTTGTGTGCAAAAATGTAAAGAACATTTTTTCAATGGTTAAATGGTTTCCTTGTACATACATGCAAAGACTTGATTGCCCTTGGGCTTGATGTGGGTCCCTGGCTATTGCCACCAGGTCCTCATCCTTCCCAGTTAGGTCTGCAAATCCAGGGACTGGAATTCAGCACCACAGATTTGCATGAGCCGTACATATCCTCTCTCTTATGAGCCATCTTTCCTCTGGAATTTGTAGTTTTTAATCACGGGTAAGTGAGATTTCACCTCTTCAGAAGGTATTTGTATTACTCACCCTTTGCAGTGCATGAGCATTTGTTTCAGCCGAGTGCCCTTGAAAAGTGATGGATGAAATCTCGAAAACCCTCTGCTTATTATCTACAGTAAGCTTTAATCAGAGCTGGGTTTTGCCTACCAGTGATTCTTCTAGAGGAATCTATTTGGCGGTACTTGGTGAATAGCAAATATCATATGCATGCCCCTCCACCCCCACCATCCTATTTTTTTCAGCTTTCTTGCTGATATGTTAACGAGAATGATATTGTAAGGTAAATTGTGAGGGTTTTGGTTTATGCTGCTCTGCTTAAAATGAACTATTACGAAGTCCTTGACTAG